GTCCCTCCCTACCCTAGGCCTCAGTCTCCCCATCTGTAAAATGAGGGCTTTGGAACAGGTAAGCCCAGGTGCCCCCTCCCTTCCCTGGGCCTCAGTTTACCCATCTGTTAAATGAGGGAGTTAGACCAGGTAACCCCAGGTGTTCCCTCCCTACCCTGGGCCTCAGTCTCCCCATCTGTAAAATGTGGGGGTTGGATTAGGTAACTCCAGGTGCCCCCTCCCTTTCCTGAGCCTCAGTCTCCCCATCTGTAAAATGAGAGAGTTGTATCAGGTAACCCCAGGAGACTCTCTCTGCCTCCTCCCAGACAAGCTCAGGCTACTCTCTCTTGCCCTCCTCGGAATCCCCTTTTCCCCATTTTCCCTTCCTACCGTGTATTACAGTCATCTGTGCATATGTCCATTCCTCCAGTAGAATGTAAGGCTGGTGGGATAAAGGGCAGTGTCAACCAGGATCCATCAGTGAAAAGAGCCCTGGCTTGGAGTTAGGAAGGGTCTGGATTTTAATCCTTTCTTCCATACTTATTAATTTGGTGACCAAGGGCGAGTCACTTAACCTCCAATTTAATCTCAGTTTCCTCATCTGTAAAATGGGACTGACCAAATAATGTTTTGTATCTTCCCTAGGGCCATGTGCTTAAGGAAAGCTTAAGGAATATTTCCTGGCTGGTTAAATATTATTTCCCCTCAATCAGTGTTCCAGCCAAATTTGTTATTCTCAGGACAGGACTTTGCACTTCCCATCGATGGGTCTTTGCAGGGACATTTCCCCATGCCTGGGAATGTTCTTCCTTCTCACCTTCGCCTGTGGAACTCCTTGGTTCCTTCAGGGCTCACCTCAGGCGCCATCACTCTTCTCTGAGAGGAGAGGCCTTTCCTGAGTCCCCCAGTTGTTAGTTTCTACCCCTCCCCCCATTGCTTTGTATTTATTTTGTCTTTTGTATTTACTCTTTGTACCTGTTATTTCTTCCAGTAGAATGTAAGTTCCTTGAGGACAGGAACTGTTTCATTTTGGTTGCTGTATCCCAAATGCCTAGCACAGTGCCCCTGGCACACAGTAGGTGCTTAATAACAATTAATTGTTGAATTGAATTTTAAGGCTTTATATAAATGTTACTGTCATGTTTGTAAAATACTTCCAGTCAAAAATAGTGCTTTGCAGTCTTTCAGACATAGTAAACTTTTAATAAAGGTTGAGTAGAATTGAGTTCATTTTCCCTGACATCCCTTTAATTGCACTATATCTAGAGCTGGTAGAAGGCATTTTTATACCCTTTGCGAGGTTTGGAAGGCAAAGTTTTCACAGTATCAAATGTGTCTTGACTTAATCACAAAGTAAATACCTAAATGATATGGATAGTAGAATTTTTTGGTAGTAAAAATATTAATGAAGAGTAGTATTAGAAAGTGTCCCGTGTGTTGTGCTGTGGGTGTTCTTCTTCACCCAGATTACGTTGTAACAAAGCACAGTTTTATCTATTGACTTAGATCATTCTCATAGTAGGCAGCCTTCATAGCATGGTGATATGGTGCCAGACTTGACTTAACTAGTCAAGGGACTCTGGGCATGTTTCTTCACCTTTCTGACCTTCAGGCAACTCTAAATCTTATTTAATAAGTTAAAGAAAGTCATGCTCTACCCCGGTGGATTCTTTGATCAAAACAAGCATTATCTCCATTTTACAGTAGAAGCAACAGAGTCACAGAGGTGAAGTAGCATTTTTTTTTTTTTTGCTTTTTTTGGTGAGGCGATCAAGGTTAAGTGACTTGCCCAGGGTCACACAGCTAGTAAGTGTTAAGTGTCTGAGTCTGGATTTGAACTCAGGTCCTCCTGACTCCAAGGCCAGAGCTCTATCCACTGTGCTAGCTAGCTTCCCCCTGAAGTAGCTTCTTTGTTCTTAGTCACACAGGGAGTAACAACCAAGTCACGGAATCATAGGATTATTAGAGCCATAAGGGACCTTAGGGATCATCTCTTCTAACTCTCAGTTTACAGATGGGGAAACTGAGGCTCAGAGAGGTTAAATGACTTGTCTGTGATCATACATAAATAATAGTTGGGATTCAAACCCAGGTCTTTTGATCCCAAATATTATAGTCTTTCCTCTGTAGCAGACCAGTTTCTCCTTAGACATTGCTTTGATTGAGTCTTTTCAATGCAATAAGCATTTATTAAGGCACTTACTTTGTGCAAAGTGCTGGGGATACAAAGATGACAAAAATTTTTTCATGTGCCCTTGAAGATTTTACTTTCTCCTGGGGGCACAGTTTATATACAGATGAGTGAATATAAAGTATGTACTAAATATAACTAAAGTAAGGACAAAGTGATTCTGCAGTTGAGATATGCTCTGATGTACATCACTCACCTCTGGAGTTATGGGAGTTCCCACTTGCCTGTCAGACCTACATCATTGGGACCTTTGATTTGACACTGCCCCACTCCCCTTCCCACTGTGGTGTAACACTGGATGCCTGCCCTTCAGTTCAGCAAAAAAGTCTGCTTCCTAACTATTTCCTTAATATGTGCTGGTTCTTTTATCTAAAATAGACTTGCACTTTCTCTCTAAATAATGTTTTTTCTTCCTTAAAAACACTGCTGAAATTCCCTGCAACTGCCAGAATTTATGTGTAGCTGTGATTTTTTCAAGCATTTCTTTTGTATTTGGAATGTGTGTGCAGTGTACATCTTGCCTTCCCAATTAAATTCTAAATACCTCAAAGAGAAGCTCTCCTTTCATTGAAGGAAGCTTTTCCATCACACCTGTTTCTGTTGTAAACAGTCCTATTCCAGACAAGTCACATAGTTTTTTGTTTTTTTTTTTCCATTGAAAAATTGAGAACATCCTAACTTACTCTCTGACCTTAAGCAAGTCATCTTGCCACTCTGGGTCTCAGTTTATCCCTTCAGAATGAAGGAGTTGGACTAGATGATTTCTAAGCCTTTTCCATCCCTAACATTCTGTGACTCTTTTCTGTGATGTACATGTGTAGGATGCAGGCTGGCCAGGTTCTGTCAGGTTGGGAGGGGGTGTTGAAGAAACTACTAGGAGCTGTATTTGACAGTATTATATATGAGTGTAGCATTGGAAGAGGGTCTGTTTCCCTCTAAGGGAGTTGGACGGAAAAATGCATTCATTTGAAACTGAAATGGATTCAACTGAAACAATCCATGTGCTTTCAGACATGTGAGGACTGTTCAACTATAAAATAAATGGCTTTGTAAAATACTGAGTTCCCTGTATTCTAGCAGAGCCTGGGTGACCATCTCTCAGGGGTGATGTGAGCTAGGTCTGACTCAGGCCTGCCTAGAATTCCTGACTGGAGTGAATGAGACTCATAGACCTTCTAGCTGTTAACAAAAGGAGATTTACTTACCTATAGCATGGAAAGGATACTCAGCAAAGATACAGCACTGATTCAGGTGGGTTCAGTCCCTCCAGTCTCTGTATGAAAATGCTTCTGGACGGCAAGTTGTATTTGGTCAGCGACTTAATAAACATTAAGCACCTGCTATATTCTAGGCAATGTACTAACCACTGGGGATACAAAGAAAGGTAAAAGTCAGTCCCTGCTCTTGAGGAGCTCACAGCCTGATGGGGGAGACAGCATGCAAACAATTATGTGCAGTTGTGTTATGCACAATAAATTGGAGGTAGTCAGTGGGTGGAGGCCCTAGAATTAATGGGGATTTTGCAAGGCTTCCTGTAGAAGGTGGGATTTGAGCTGAGACCTAAAAGAAGCCAGGAGGCAGAGCATTCTAGGCATGGGGGACAGCCAAGAGAAATGCCTGGAGTTGACAGATGGTGTGTACTGTTTGAGGAATAGCAAGGGAGCCATTGTCCCTGGGTTGAAGATCCTGTGAGGGGACGGTGTAAGGTATAGGGAGACTAGAAATGTGGGGGCAGGTGAAAAAGGGCTTTGAGGGCTAAATTGAGAGATTTTGATCCTTTCA